CCGTTCTTTTTTGGGGAAATGTGTAATTTTAGCACACCAGACTTTTGGCCCTCAGAGCGTCCACGACGGCCCTAGAGGCCCTCGCGGTCGCCCCAAGATGGCCTCAAAAGCCCCGCAGGGAACCCAAATACAGCCCACGGGCACCCCAAGACGACCCAAGAGAAGCCCAATACGGCCCAAGAGTGCCGCAAGAGAACCCCAAGAGGCGGAAATCAAAAGGACACTTCGAGCTTGCCGCCACAACGAGACCTCCAACCCCGCCAGCAGGCTCCCAAGAAACATTCGATGGGCCTCAAGAAGCCGCAAACAAGCCCAAAAGAGGTCCAAAAGAAGCCCCAAGAGGCCCCCTAACGGCCCCTAAGAGGAGCCGAAGAGGCTTCAAACCTTTTTCAAGAGGCTCCGGAGACGCTGCGTCAAACTCCCAGCTGGTGATGCGCCGCCAGCGTTCTCGACATAAATACGATTAGCGTTGCGTCGCGTGCCTACCGCGCGTTCCGTCGTCGTCGTCGCCGTCGTCGCCGCCGTCGCCGTCGTCGCCGTCGTCGTCGTCGCCACCGTCGTCGTCGTCGTCGTCGTCGCCGTCGTCGTCGTCGTCGTCGTCGCAGTCGTCGTCAACGTCGTCGACGTCGTTGTCGTCGTCCTCGTCGACGACGTCGCCATCGTCGTCGTCGTCATCGTTGTCGTCGACGCTGTCGTCGTCGTCGTTGCCGTCGTCGTCACCGTCGTCGCCGTCGTCATCGTCGCCGACGACATCGACGCCAAATTCGTAGTCGTCGTGCTCGTCGATGTCGTTGTCATCGTCGCGGTCGCCATCGTCCTCGTCGCCGTCGTCGCCGTCGTCGTCGACGTCGTCGTCGTGGTTGTCGTCATCGTCATCGTCGTCGCCGTCGTGGTCGTCCTCGTCGTCGCCGTCGCCGTCGTCGTGCTCATTGTCGTTGTTGTCGTCGTCGTCGTAGTCGCCAGAGTCGCCGTCGACGCCGCCGTCGTCGTCGTCGTCGTCGTCGTCGTGGTCGTCGTCGTCGTCGTTGTCGTCGTCGTCGTCATCGTCGTCGCCGTCGTGGTCGTCTTCGTCGTCGCCGTCGTCGTCGTCGTGCTCATTGTCGTTGTTGTCGTCGTCGTCGTCGTCGCCGACGTCACCGTTGCCGTCGTCGTCGTCGCCGTCGCCGCCGTCGTCGTTGTCGTCGTCGGCCTCGTCGTCGTCGTCGTCGTTGCCGTCGTCGTCATCGCCGCCGTGCTCGTCGTCGTCGCCGTCGTCGTTGTCGACATCGTCGACGTCGCCGACGTCGTTGTCGTCGTCACCGTCGTCGTCGTCGCCGTCGTCGTGCTCGTCGCCGTCGCCGTCGCCGCCGTCGCCATCGCCTTCGTCGTCGTCGTGGTCGCTATCGTCGTCGTCGTCGTGGCCTTCGTCGTCGTCGCCGCCGTCGCCGTCGTCGTCGTCGTAGTCGTTGTCTTTGTCGCCGCTGTCGTCATATTCGTCGTCGTCGTCATCGTCATCGTCGTCGCCTCGCCGTCGTCGTCGTCGTCGTCGTCGTCGTCGCCGGTGTCGTCACTGTCGTCGGCGTCGCCGTCGTCGTCGAGGTCGTCGTAGTCGCCGTCGGCGTCGTCATCGTCGTCGACATCGTCGTCGCCGTCGTCGACGTCGTCATGCTCGCCGTCGTCTTCATCGTCGTCGTCGTCGCCGTTGTCGTCGCCGTCTCCGCCCACGTCGTTGTCGTCGTCGCCGACGTCGTCGCCGTCTCCGCCCACGTCGTTGTCGTCGTCGCCGACGTCGTCGTCGTCGTCGTCAGCGTCGTCGCCGTTGCCGCCGTCGTCATCAGCGTCGTCGTCGTCGTCGCCGTCCTTGTCCTCGTGCTCGTCGTCAGCGTCGTCACCGTCGGACGTAGTCGTCGTCTTTGCCGTCGTCGCCGTCGTGGTCGTTGTTGCCGTTGTCGTTGCCGTCGTCGCCGTCGTCGTCGTGGTCGTCGTCGTCGTCGCCGTCGTCGTCGTCGCCGTCGTCGTCGCCGTCTCCGCCCACGTCGTTGTCGTCGTCGCCGACGTCGTCGTCGTCTTCAGCGTCGTCGCCGTTGCCACCGTCGTCATCAGCGTCGTCGTCGTCGTCGCCGTCCTTGTCCTCGTGCTCGTCGTCAGCGTCGTCACCGTCGGACGTATATAGTCGTCGTCTTCGCCGTCGTCGCCGTCGTCGTCGCCGTTGCCGTTGTCGTCGTCGTCGTCGTGGTCGTCATTGTCGTCGCCATGGTCGCTGTCGTCGTCGCCGCCGTCGTCGTCGTCGCCGTCTTCGTTGTCGTCGTCATCATCGCTGACGTCGTCGTCGTCATCGTCGTCGTGGTCGCTATCGTCGTCGTTGTCGTGCTCGTCGTCGTCGTCGTCGCCGTCGTCGTCGTCGTCGTCACCACCGTCCTCGGCGTCGTCGTCGCCACCATCGTCGTCGCCGTCGTCGTCGAAATCGTTGTCAACGTCGTCTTCTCTTTTGTCATTGCCGTCGACGTCGTCATCGTCATCGTCGTCGTGCTCGTCGTCGTCGCCACCTTCATTGTCGACGTCGTCGTCGTCGTCGTCGCCGTCGTCGCGGCCACCGTGGGCGTCGTCGTCGTCGTCGCTGCCGTCTCCGTCGTGGCCGTCGTCGCCGTCACTGCCACCGTCGCCGTCGTCGTCGTCGTCACCGTCGTCGTCGCCGTCGTCGGCGTCGTCACCGTCGTCGTCGTCGTCGTCGTCGTGGTCTTCGTCGTCGTCGCCGTCGCCGACGTCGTCATCGTCATCGTCGTCGTCGTCGCCGTCGTCGTCGTCGTTGCCGTCGTCGCCGTCGTCGTCGTCGTGCTCGTCGCCGTCGTCGTAGCAATCGTCGTCATGATCGTCGTCGTCGTCACCAACGTCGCCGTCGTTTTCATCGTCGTCGTAGTCGCCGTCGTCATCGTCGTGCTCGTCGTCGTCGTCGTCCTCGCCGACGTCGTCGTCGTAGCCAACGTCGTCGTCGTAACCGTCGTCGTCGTCGTCATGCTCGTCGTCGTCGTCGCCGTCGTGTTCGTCGTCGTGGTCGCTGTCGTCGTCGTCGTCGTCATCGTGGACTTCGTCGTCGTCGCCGTCGCCGAGGTCGTCAACATCGTCGTCGTCGTCGCCGCCGGGGTCGTCGTCGTCGGCGTTGCCGTCGTCGCTGTCGTCGTCGTCGTGCTCGTGGTTGTCGTCGTCGCCATCGTCGCCGTCGATGCCGTCGTCGTCTTCGTCGACGTAGTCGCCAACGTCGCCGTCAACGCCGCCGTCGTCGTCGTCGTCGTCTTCGTCGTTGTCGTCGTCGTCGTCGTTCTTGTCGTCATCGTCGTCGTCGTCGCCGTCTTCGTCATCTTCGTCGTCGTCGTTGTCGTTGTCGGCGTCAACGCTGTCGTAGCCATCGGCGCCGTCGTCGTCGTCGTCGTCGCCGACGTCGTCATCGTCGTCGTCGTCGTCGCCGCCGCCGTCGTCGTCGTCGTTGCCGTCGTCGCCGACATCGTCATCGTGCTCGTCGCCGTCGTCGTAGCAGTCGTCGTCGCCGCCGACATCGTCGCCATCGTCGCCGTCGTCGAATCGTCGTCGTCGTCGCCTTCGTCGTCGTCGACGCTGTTGTCCTCGTCGTCTTTGTCGCCGTCGTCGTCGGCCTCGTCGTCGTCAACGTCGCCGTGTTCGTCGCTGCCGTCGTAGTTGTCGTCGTCGTCGTCATCGACGCCATCGTCGTCATCGCCGTCGTTGTCGTTGCCGTCGTCGTCACCGTCGTCGTGCTCGTCGTCTTCGTCGTCGTCACCGTGCTCGTCGTCGTCGTCGTTGCAGGTGTCGTCGCCGTCGTCGTCGTAGTCGTCGTCGCCGTCGTCGCCGTCGTCGTCGCTATCGTTGCAATCGTCGTGGTCGTCGTCGCCGTAGTCGTCGCCGTCATCGTCGTCGTCATTGTCGTCGTCGCAATCGTGATCGTCGTGCTTGTCGTCGTTGTCGCCGTCGTCGTCGTCATCGCCATCGCCGTCGCCGTCGTCGCCGCCGTCGCCGCCGCTGTCGTCGTCGTCGTCGTCGTCGCCGTCGTCGTCGTCATTGTCGTCGTCGTCGTCGACATTGTCGCCGTCGTCTTTGTCGTCGTCGCCGCCGCCGCCGCCGGCAGCCGGCGCAGGCGCCGGCCTGGAGGAAAGGGGGGGGTTCGAACCCCCACTCCCCCCAACCCCCCTTGAATCGTCGTCCTCGTCGACGCCCCCCGCCGCCGCCGACAGCCGCCGCTGGCACCGGCGCCGGCCCAGGAGGGGGAGAGGGGCCGCCGCCTTCGCCAGCGCGGGCCCTTTTGGGGTGGGGGGGGTTCGAGCCCCCTCCCCCCCTTGAACCAAGTGTGGGGGGGTCCGCATCCACAGAGCCCCCCCCTCCAAGCGCCCACAGAACGCACTCTTTCCCCCCTCCGAACACCCCGAACACTTCCTCCTCCTTCTCCTCCTTTCAATCCGCCACCCCCTCCTCCTCCTGCGCCTCCTCCTCCTCCTCCTCCTCCTCCTCCTCCTCCTCTGTTCTTCTCCGCCTCCTCCTCCTCCTCCCGTCCTCTCTCCTCGTCGTCGTCCTCCTCCTCCTCCCCCTCCTCCTCCCCCTCCCTCCCTCCTCCTCTCCTCCTCCTCCTCCTCCTCCTTCTCCTCCTTCTCTCCTCCCCTCCTCCTCCTCTTCCTCCTCTCCTCCTCCTCATCCTCCTCCTCCTCGTCCTCCTCCTCAGCCGCCTCCTCCTCCTCTCCTCCCTCCTCCTCCTCCTCCTCCTCCTCCTCTCCTCCCTCCTCCTCCTCCTCTCCTCCTCCTCCTCCTCCTCCTCCTCCTCCTCCTCCTCTCCTCCTCCTCCTCCCTCTCCTCCTCCTCCTCCTCCCTCCTCCTCCTCCTCCTCCTCCTCCTCCTCCTTCCAAGCCTCCCGAAAACCTCGCAGAACCTCCTCCCCATCCACAATATGCCCCTCATCCTTCCCGCCCCACTCCTCATGCTCCTCGGGGAGAGCATGGACGACAAGGAGCGTGTAACTTTTCGACCACCGCGCCGCCGCCACCCCATCGGCCGCAGACCGCGTGCGGGGGCCCTGACCAACGCGAGAAGCCGAGCAGGAGGCAGTCCGCAGGGTCCGCCGTGCCTCCCCGTGATGAGGGCGGCTGATTCTCCCCCAGGGGAAGCCTTCACCCTCTCCCCTACATCCTCCTCCTCCTCCTCCTCCTCCTCCTCCTCCTCCTCCTCCTCCTCCTCCTCCTCCTCCTCCTCCTCCTCCTCCTCCTCCTCCTCCTCCTCCTCCTCCTCCTCCTCCTCCTCCTCTTCCTCCCCTTCCTTCTCCTCCTCCTCCTCCTCCTCCTCCTCCTCCTCCGTCTCCTCCCAAGGCGCTCAGGCGGGCGTCGACATCCCTGGCAGCACCGGCGCCACCGAAGGGGCTCGAAACGAGGCCAACACCTTGCGGGAGTGCTTGGAGAGCTTCACCTGCAGGGGCGGCAGACCACCTCACCTCTCCATCCTCCGCCTCATTCTTCTGGTTCCCCCTGGCCTTGCTCCTGCCCCTGCTCCTCCTGCTCCTCCTGCTCCTCTTACTCTCCCACCTCCGCCTCCTCTGCTTCCGCCTCCTCCTCCGCCTCCTCCTCTTCACCCTCCTTCTGCCCCTTCCCCAGCTAGCACTTTCAATTCTCCTCCTGGTCCACCGCCTCGTCCTTCTCATCATCCTCCTTCTCCTCCACTCCAGGCGGACCTTTTCCATCCCTCCCCCGTGCTTCTCCTCCTCCATGTCCTCCCCCTCTTCATACTCATCCTCAGTGCCCCTCGCCTGTGAGGAAGATGGCTGGACATGGAGGAGATGGAAGGAACGGCAGAGAGGGATGAGAGGGGGGAGAGTGAGGGAAAGGAGGAGATGGGGAGGGATGAGGGGGAGGATGGAGAATGGATAGAAGAAGGGAAGCGAGGATGGAAAAGCAGAAGATGATCATGAGGATGAGGATGGAGGAAGTGGAGAATGATTGGGAGGATGGGACGGGGGAAACCTGCGTATAATAAAGACACGGATGAGGAGAAATCGAGGAAGCAAGAGGACGAGGAAGCAGGAGAGATTTTGGAACGAAGTCGGATGAAGCACGAGGGCCAGGAGGAGGAGGATGAGACCAGTATACACCTAAAACTCATCAACGATGTTGGAAAACAACCTCCCTCCTAGCTCCCTCTTCACAGGCCCCTGGAAGGGTTTATGTCCACTGAAGAAAATGCCCCGTTAGAAGACAACCGTTTGAAGATCCTGAAGCGTGCTAAAGCAACGAATCAATATGACAGTTGCGTCTTGACGATCCAGAATCGTGCCAGAAGACCACTCCTGGGACTTCAACACCGCAAACCAACGTACCTCTTGCGCCCTGGCAATCCTGAGCCGCTCCATAAGACTATTTCCTCTACGTTAACCATGGACCCATGCAACTCTGGCAAATGTCTAAAACGAGTGTGCGCGGCGCTCAAGCTAGAGCCACATGTTGAAAAGAAACCGCCCGCACACAGTGAAACTCTTTGCAAATATTTAAAAGGAACGTGCGCGGCGCTGAACCGAGAACCACACTTTGAAAACGGCCCGCCCTCGATCCGTGAAACCCTGGCGAATGTTTGAATCGAATGTGCGCGGCGCTAAAGCGAGAACCATACTTTGAAAATGGCCCGCCCTCAATGCGTGCAACTCTGGCAATGTTTTGAAAACGAATGCGCGCGGCGCTAAAGCGACAACCACACTTTGGAAAGGACCCACCCTCAAACCGCGAAACTCTTGCAACTTGTTTGAACGAATGCGCGCGGCTCCAAAGCGAGAACCGCATTTTGAAAGAGAGTCGCCCTCACTCCGCGAAACTCTTGCAAATGGTTTATACGAATGCGCGCGGCGCTAAGGCGAGAACAACATTTTGAAAATGGGCCGCCCTCAATCCGTCAAGCTCTTGCATTGTTCCGAAACGAATGTGCGCGGTGCTAAGGCGACAGCCCCATGTTGGAAGCGGCCCACCCTCGATCTGTGAAGCTGTTGCCAAGTTCTAAGCTTCAAGCTGAGAAATAGTACAGAAGTCTCTGGCGAAACGCTCGGCCTGCCCTTCCGACTGGCCCCGGGGTGCGACAGGGAGGAGTTGTTTATAAGGAGAAGCAACGGGAAAGGCTGAGGGGTCACACTTTCGGATGCTGACCTGTGTTTTTGCTCGAACTGCTGCAGCCCAGCGGGTCACTGCATTCCGGAAATCACTGTCCATGTCGCGAACCACGCCCTGCCTCCCCCTCTACCTCCTCCTGCTCCTCATTGCGTCCTTTTGTCTTATGTGCGTCCTGCTTCTTCTCACGCTCCTTCTGGGCGCGGTCTGATATTGCGCTCGAGCGTGGGGCAACGGATTTCAAGATTCCGAAAGGGAGGAGATTGGGCATGTTATTATTCTGGGCACAATCGCTGCGCCGGTGGTGGAGTAAAGCAATCTTCCACCGCATGCCATCTGGAGCCGGGTTAGAGGTCAGGAGGCGCTCTTCCTTGTTCGTGGAGACACACAGGCCATCGACATAGAACTTATCAATCTTCCTCGCATGTCCAGCAGAGGAGCAGGCGACAAAACCCCAAATGAGAACGGATCTACCAAATGCGAGGCCTGGGCTAATGACCGAGTGCAGCAGGAAGTGGGCATCGTGCCTAATGAGGTGTCTCTCTGACAACACCGCATGACAATGTGACAACATGTTGTGCAACATCCAAGGGAATATAAATGCCGCGTTAAGGTATCCACCGGGGATCCCTCGGGATATGTAAAACATACGCTCGACGCTGCTGGCAATGTGCATGATACCTCACAAAGGCGGGCCCTGCAGTGGGCCAATAATATGTGGAAGCTTACGATCGCATCGGAAAACCACCACCCATCAGAGTGTACCGCACGACCGCTGCTACTATTTCAATCGCTTTTGTGCTGGGCCGTGGAGCATGTCTACGTCAGGAGGTGGAGAAATTTCAGATTATCATGTGAAGTGTGATGACTTCCTTGAGGGGGCTCGTTCTTCCTCCATATCGGCTCCTGCCTTGCAGCAGTATCATCCTCAGCAGCAGGAGCACCGCCATGGGGAGCAAGAGGAATCCGACGGGCCAGGGGGAGGACCAGGAGGATGATTGGACTCGAGGGCTACTACGTTTAGACGGTACCTTCTGTCGCAGCCACCTTCGGAGTAAAATGACGATGCGGATGCATCAAACCCATTCCAGGCTTGAGGGGAAACATGGTGTTAGAATTCTTGCGGCGGTCCAGGCCCGCATTAATCCATGTTGCGCGTGCTGGGCAGGCTCTTTGAAGGGAGGTGCAAACGAACCTCCAAAGACGAAGCGCGGAGCCGGCAATGCCGATGAGCCGACCAGATCCGTGAGCTGTTGTCAATCCTCGTAAAGATGTGCCTCCAGACGAGGCAGCAAGTACGTATGGCTGCTGCGTTAACTTGCTTTCGGGGGGCGAGGGATACCATCGCAGTGCAGGGCACCAGGGAAGCGTACAAAGAACACGCGGGCCGCACGAAGAGCAATAGCGGCCAAGAGGAGGGCGGCCCAGGCCCACAGCGATTTCATTTCAACGCGGCAAAGGTGCGACAATCGAGCCAAGCAGCTGGAAAATACGCTCTGCCCAGGTCGGCGCCCTGTGTGTGCGGAGGGGGGGAGAGGGGGGACGGTGGTTGTCTGCTTGCTCACTCCGGCAATCAGCGACGCGAAGCGAGGGGCCAGAATCAAATTGTGAGTGCGTTGACAGTCGTCGTTGACGACGGCAGGCTACAGGCTGAGCAGTGTCAAAGAAGGAGGAGGAGGAGAAGGAGGAGGAGGAGGAGGGGGAGGAGGAGGAGAAGGAGGAGGAGGAGGCAAACCAGGCACTTGTCAACAGCAAGTTCTGCGCCCGGGGCCTCACACAGCGTGCAATGGAATACACGCCGGGCCTAACATCAGCACAGATGGTCTGGTATGCTATTTCCGGGGAAACGTAAGATTCTGGTTCTTGTGACTCGGGCTGGCCTGACCGGGCCATCACCAACACGACGAGACCCAGCCTGAAACTTGACGCGAGCTCGCGCTGCAAAGGTCCCACGAAAATTGGACCTCCGAAATCCAGGACGCGCTCGTCAACAAAAAAAGCGTCGGCAGACCCGAGTTCCAGCGTAATTTTACCCGGGTCTCACGTCCCCCGCTGCTTGCTTCTCAGGAGGGAGGGCCACGGAGAGGGGAGGTGCAGCCTGGAGTTAGGTCGAGCGTGTCCCCCTACAGGCGGACTTCCGGCGAAGAATGAAAAATACGCAAAAAATGCCCCCAAATAGTCGACAAAATAATTACAAGATGGTCCCCACACTATTTCTTGACCACTTTTGAACGCTCCTCCTGTGGAGGGACAGGCCCGACTTCAGCCTGGAGGCCGTCCACCGAGGCTTCGGCCCAGGGGCGCCCTCCGAGGCCCTGCCCCCGCGAGGCCCACGGTCCGCCCCTGAGGCCCTCCCGCCCGCCTGCCCCCGCTGCCCCGCCCGCCTGCCCCCGCTGCCCTCCCCCCCATCGCCGCTCCATGGGCGATGCATCTGCAGCCAAGCCGCACCGCAAGTCGGCACTCTGTGAAGTGGGCGCGGCCAGCGACAGCGGCCGAGAATGGGCAGAAGGGGAAGTGATACAGGGGTAGCCTTGGAAAGTCGCTCATCCTTACTATGCGGGTTGACTGTACAAGCATGACTCTCCTGTCTCCCCTGACTCTGTCCAGAAGATGTTATGCCCACCCCGCGTACCGTTCTCGACACCAAAGATTTCAAGCAGTCGGTTGCTGATGTTTGAAAGCGGATTGGATCCCCGATTGAGCATAACAAGGTGGGGTCCTCTCAGGAGTTCCAGGTCCGCTATGATACGCGTCGGCGCGGATGGAAAAAAACAGCGTACTGGGAAGGAACGGGCGGGAGGGGTAGGATGTCAGACATGGCGCGAGCGCACCGAGCTTGTCCCTACTCCCTCCCCTCCTCGACCCCCCCTTCAACCCTCTGCTCTTCGACTTGCGCCTCGAGGCCCTCCTGCGCTTAGCTGCCCGATGCGCAACACGCAGCCCATAGCGCGTTGACACGGAGCGCACACACGCACACACACACACACATACACACACACGCACACACACACACACACACTGAAAGCGTAGGAATGGCGCGAGACGCTCGCCAAAACGTGGCCCAACACGTGCCGAACCCACACGCAACGCGTCAACAGGGACGTCTCGAACACGGCCCGTGCTGATTTCCGACACGGGCGCATCCGGGCAGCTCAGCTCCTGCGCTGTCGTGACCTCGCCCCCTTCCCGCCGATTGTCCTGCGGGGGGACCCGGGCTCGCCCTGTCCCTCTGCACGACGCCGCCCCCTGGGCCAGCGCCGCCGCGGCCGCGGCCGCCGCCGCGGCCCCTCCCACGGCCCGCCGCCTCCTTGCCCGAGCGGACGGGGGGGGGGTCGCCGGCGCGAGCGTCTCACACCCCGGAGGCAGACGTGCACTCGGGCCCCTGGCCTCCTCCTCCTCCTCGTCGCCCTCCTCCTGCCTCCTTCGCCTCCCACGACTCCCCCTCCGCCTACCGCATCCCTCCTCCCTCCTCCTACTCTACCTCCTTCTTGTCCTTGTCCCTTCTATTCCTAGCCCGTCTCTTTCTTGTCCTGCTCCCCTCGTGATGTGCATATACACATATCTGCGTGTATAGATATATATATATATATATATTAGACATATATAAACCTGCATTAGAACCACGCGAGCTTCGCGCGCGTTCGGGTTCTGGCCATCACCCGCCCTTGACAAGTTCACACCTGTATGCATGTACACACATACTCAAACATGAAATTACCCTGAGATGAAGAAGAATTGCGAAGGCGTACCGAGCATTACGGTCAGAGGTACGCTTAGGCATCTTCAACGCGATGCAACGCAAGGCGGTGCAAAGCCGCGAAATGAATTGAACGCTTTGCAATGGCAATTAAATCCGCGACGCATTATCATGTTAAACGAATGTCACAACAACCCACCGCAACGCAAAGAAACGCAAGCCAGTTCAAATACACATTGGCAAAGCAATTGCACAGAAGTGCAACTCAATGCAACCCATGACAAAGCTGAACAATGTACATGATACATTGCGAAGCATCAGCAAACAATACACACGCAATGCAAACAATGCGCTGCGATCGAACATAAGATATTCGACGAATCCGGAAACCCATGGAACAAAGACTTCGGATACCTCGAGGACGGGGAATCCGACGAACACACCAAAAGAACTGGGGCTGAAAATCGTGAATGCCAACAGGTCCCGTGCACAGAGGACGGGCTGGAGAGGAAAGGGAAGAGCATGGAGGGAAGGAGGGAGAAGCGAGAATATGGGCCGCAGCAGGGATGAGAGAAGAGTCGAGCAAGGGGACGGCGAACGGAGAAACAGAGGGATGGGAAGGGAAGCCGGGATAAAGGAGCAAGGAAGAAGGAGAGAGGAGATGGCAAGACAAAAACGATATGTACGATCGAGAAGGGAGGGAGTAAAAATGAGGGACTGAGGATATAAGAGGCCCGTATAGGGCTCTTGTGGACTCCGTGGGGCCTCATATGAAGTACACGTTGGAACCGAAAACCATGGGTCTATCTGGTTTGGGCCAACTGAAAAAAACTGTGGTGACTCTCGTGCGGCCCGTTGGGTGGCACCTCGGAAACCGCTAGGACCTCGTCTCGAATTCTCGAATTATTTGAGCAAGTACGGAGTACTATTGGGATACATCGGAATCTTGTCGGGCCGTCTGAGGGCCTACTGGGGCCGAGACTGGATCCGCTGGACGGTCTTTGGGGCCATGGGGGCATTCGGGGCCAAGCTGAGGACCCTCGGAGGGCTGCTTGAAACGGTCGCCGCCTGCCCGAACCCCCTGAGGAATAATCTTTGGCCGACAAATTGCAGATGCCAGAGATGCAACAAAAACAGCTTCAGTGCTCAACATCGAATGTTCAGCTCGGAGTCCTCTTGAGAATCCATTGCGGACGGGGCATCTCAGAACATAGCTCCACGGACGCCCTCCCCCCCCCTTGACGGCGTCTCGAGGCCGCGGGGCGTCCAGAACACCACGGCTTCAACCTTGAGCGCCCCCGCACACCACGGCTTCGACCTCGGGACGCCACGGCTTCGGGGGGGCAGCCCCCTTGACTGTCTCGTGGCAGGGGGGACGCCTCGGGACACCACGACTTCAACATGGACGCCCTCCCCCCCACCCTTGACCGCGTCTCGCGGCCGTGGTGGCGCCCCAGGACACCACGGCTTCAACCTTGGACGCCCTCTGGACACCCCCCTTGCCCGCGTCTCGCGGCCGCGGCGCGCCCAAAACACCACGGCTTCAACCTTGAGCCCCCCCTGGCACCTCCACTTGGTCGCGTCTCGCGGGCGGGGGGGCGCCTCCTCAAAACGAACACGGGTTGATCCTTGAGCGCCCCCACGTCCCGGAACCGGGGGGCGCCTCGGGACTTCACGGCTTCGACCTCGGACCCCCCCCCCCCGGGGCAACCCTCTCGACCGCGCCTCGCGGCCGTAGTGGCGCCGCGGGACACCACGAGTTCAACCTTGGACGCGCCCCCGTTGGGCACCCCCTTGTGACCGCGTCTCGCGGCCAGGGGGGGCGCCTCGGGACACCGTGGTTTCAACCTCGGATACCTCCTGGACACCCAGCGTTTTGACCGCGTCACGCGGCCAGTGGGGCGCTTCGGGACACCACGGCTTCAAGCTCGGACGCCCGCCGGGCACAACCCCTAGACCGTATCTCGTGGCAAGGTGGGAGGGAATCAAGTCACGACTGCTTAGACGCGGCCGGGGGGGCGCCTCGGAACACCCTGGGGGTTGTCGTCGGGGTGTCGCGGGCGACGGAAGGGCCACGAATGGCCCACCCCATCGCAGGGCGACGGGCCACGAAAATGGCCCGCCGCCCAGAACCACGTTCCTCATGCGTCCTGGGCTAGTGCGACGCCGAATGCCTGCCAGCACGCAGCAATCCCGACTGGACTGCAACGTGGCGTGCTGTTCGCGTGCGGTCAAGCACCTGACAGGATGCGCCGAGCCTGACTTGGCTGCTCAGGCCGCCGTTGCTTGGAACTCCGTCATGGACGCGTGCGGCAACCAGCACGACAGTCGGCACGGCACGCAGCACAGTCCACGGCACGGCACCAGGCACGGCACCAAGCAACGTTCCCTGTGCGTCCCCGATGCCCCGCAAAACCGATACTCCCGCTAAACTGAAGAGAAAAAACTGTACCCGACGCGATCTGCGATCGCCAGTTCCAGAAGTCCGAAAACGCCCCCCCGCATTTTGCCTGGGGCGGCGTTCAGCCACAATTTCGAAGAGGATCCACTCGTGGTCAAATTGGAAATTACCCCTGGCAAGGTCCGTAGTTGGTTCAACGCCGTTTCTGTCAGCTCTCTGTGCGCATACTATTTCAACTCATATGTTTGCAAGGCTGGGGACCCCCCTTCGCACCGAACGAATTTCGACCATCACGGGCGCCCAATACAGCCCCAAAGATGCAATACGGTTCCAAGACGGCCCAATAGCGCTCCAGGCTTCAGATGGCACCACGACACTTCAAGATATTTCCGACGCTCCCAAACATGCACCCAAGTAGCTCCAAGACGGTCCAAGAGGCCCCCACAAGAGGCTCCGAAAAGCCTCAAGAGAACGCCAAGCAAGCCAAGAGCATTCCATTTCTTGCATAAAACGTACATGGTCATCCATACTCTTTGCTTGTTTTCCAAAGCTCCAGAACGGTTCAAGACGCCCCCCAAATCGCCCCACAACGGATGCGGAGGCCCCCACAAAGCCCCAAGAGGACCCCAAGACAGCCCCAGAAAGTCCCACGATGGCCCAAAATAACCCAAAGACAGCCCAAGAGAGCTCCGAAACGGCCCAAGACGGCCCCCAGAGGCTCCCAATAAAGCTACAAGATAACCCCAAGAAGCCCCCAGCAGAGCGCCACGACGGCAATAGCCACCCGAGACAGGCCACAAGGGCCCAAAAACGCTCCAAAAGGGCCCGCGGTCCAGAATGGCCTGTAAGAAAACCTGGAAGCGCCCAAGTTCGTGTTTCCCCCTCCTGTGCTCACGACTGCTCCAGAAGCTAGGGCCCCAAGGTGCCAGCGGATTCGGACCTAGTAGTTGGATCCGTACACGTGCGATCGGCCAAATGGTTTGCATAGGGCTGTGTTTAGATTTCTTATCGCACGGATGGCTTTTGCATCCTTATCATGCACAAACTCACGAATGCATAATGATTGACTGGGTTATCCCACAAGTGGTGTTCTCTGAACCTTCAACTGGAAGATGATATGTCGCTCATCACTTGCATCGTGCCATGCCTGTGTGATTGTTTTCAGACGGTTCTACGCTGCGCACCTTGCATAGCATACATCGGAAGGCGTCCCGGGAAGCGCTGAAATATTCAAACAAAACCCAGTATAACCCAACAAGCACTCAAATATCACCTCAAGCCCCAAAATGCTCTCGCGAGAATCCCGTAAAAACTCTCCAAGGAGGAGGCCACGCAACCAAGTCTGAAAATGGTAAAAGGGGCGCGTTCGCAAACGACGAATAAAAATGAAGAAGAAGCAGAAGGGACTGGTGATGCATGGCAGATCTGTAACAACGATGGGGCCAACGGCAACAAGGAAGCTTCGTCTTTTGGGTACTCTCTCTCTCTCTCTCGTTGTCCTGTTCCTCTCTCTCTCCTTCCCGCGCCCCGCCTGGCGCTTGCGCGCCGATGCCTGAAGGCAAAGGTGCATGTCGCGAAGCGCCAATGCAATCTTGTACCTATGTATATATATATACACCTATACGACCACCCTTCGGGTGATAAGGAGGTTCGGGGGGGGGAGGAACCAACGTCTCACTCGATCGGTCTCACTATCGATCTCACTATGGATCTCAGTCTCGGTCTCGCTCGATCGATCTCCCTCGATCGATCTCACAATCGATCTCACAATCGATCTCACTCGATCTCACTCGATCTATCTCACACTCGATCTCACTCGATCATCATCATCATCATCATCATCATCATCATCATCATCATCATCATCATCATCATCATCATCATCATCATCATCATCATCATCATCATCATCATCATCATCATCATCATCATCATCATCATCATCATCATCATCATCATCATCATCATCATCATCATCATCATCATCATCATCAGCATCACCATCATCATCATCATCATCAGCATCATCATCATCATCATCATCAACATCATCATCAACATCATCATCATCATCATCATCATCATCATCATCATCATCATCATCATCATCATCATCATCATCATCATCATCATCATCATCATCATCGCGGGACACCGCGGGACACCGGCGGGACACCGCGGGGCACCGCGGGACACCGCGGGACACCGC